AATATGTTAACAGAAAAACGAAGATTGTAGAAAAAGAAAAACACCCCAATCCAGGAAACCATAAGCAGCAGATGGGTGAAAAGTGCTAGATGACTAGTACTTCTTTCTAGACTCAGGCCCAACAATGTGTAATATGTGTCAAATTTCTCTAGGTTCCAGCGTGTGCAAATGAGGACCTTGCTCTAAGTTATCTCCAAACTCTCCTAGAGCTACAGTTACATGATTCTTTATCTTGAGCCTGCTTGAGCATGCCTATGGTCAGGACAAAGCAGAAGTCTGGCGATGGGTGTGTGCACGTTCTGTTTTTTGGTTTTCTTTTACCTCATTGACTGTTCCCCAGCTCTCTTGCCGGCGCCGCCTCCTCTGCTCAGTCTCTGAATGCTGGGGGCGTTCTAGACTAGATTGAGGGCTTCTCTTCTCTTTTTCTATACTACTTGGTGATCTCATCTAGACACTCCTAAATTTATATTTCCAGCCCAGAATTCTCCCTTGACCTTCCGACACACTTATCAATAATCTCTCTACTTGGCATCTACACTGGGATGTCCTATAGTCATCTCAAGTGTTTTATGTCCAAGGAAGAATCCTTGATTTTTACTTTACCCCAAATTTACTTCTCCTTCAATTTTTCTAGTCTTTTCAATCTCAGTGAATTGCATCGCCTCCATCCACCCTAGTTACTCAAGAGCAAAGCATAAGAGTCATTCTGAATCTCCCTTTTTCCCATTTCCTGTTTCTGCCCTATCAGAAAGTCCTGTGGACACAATCTCCAAAAGAGCCCCTGAATTCTGTCCACTTCATTTCATCTCCAACACAGCCACTGAAGTCAGAGTCACCATCATTCTCGTGCTCTAATGCTCTCATGCTCATTCTCTAATTCTTTGAATTAGAATACTGTTTAACGTCAGGACAAATAGCCCCTTCCTTGGACCCCCTACTTTCATTGTTGATTCGAGAATTCTTTCTCCTTTAAGAGACCAGAAGGATTGTTTTAAATGTAACTCAGATTATTTATTTCAAATTCTCCAAGTGGCTTCAAAAAATGAAAATCCCAAGCTGTAGTGGTAGCACCTGTAATCTCAGCACTTTTGGAAGCTGGAGGATCTCTTGAGACCAGGAATTTTGAGAACAGCCTGGACAATATAGCAAGACCCCATCTCTACAAAAAATAAGAGAAATTGGCCGGGCATGGTGGTGCACACCTGTAGTCCCAGCTACTTGGGAGGCTGAGGCAGGATGATGGCTGGAGCCCAGGAGTTCCAAGCTTCAGTGAGCTATGATAGTGCCACTGTACTCCAGCCTGGGTGACAGAGTGAGACCTTGTCTCTAAAAAATACATACATACACAAATAAACAAACAAACAAACAAACAAACAAAATCCCAACTCCATGCCTTGAAAGACCTGTGCAATCTGGCCTGCCTATTCCTTCCGCCTAACATTCTCTTTCCCAACCTTTTCAAGACTGGCCCTTTCTTGTTATTCAGAGCTCAGCCTCCATGGCTTCCTCAAGAAAGCTTTTACCACATAGCCACCCTGTACCCCATTACCCTGTTTTAATGCTCTGTAAGGCACTTGTTACCCTCTCCCCCTTCACTAGATCATAAGCTCCTTGTGAGCAGAAAGTGAAAGCAGTCTTTTGGTTTCGTTGCCACAAGTACTTTGGCATCTGAGCAGTGCTTAGAAGATTCTTAGTATATACTTGTTAAATGAATTAATCAATGGATATTCTATTACAAGGGAGCTGTTTGTGATGTGTCCAACACATCTCATTCCTGTTTCTTTTCTTTTCTTTTTCTTTTAAGGTTGTAAAATGGATTCTCTGATGGAGACTTAGCAAATTCTCCAAAAGTTGGCTCAGGGTTTTAGCTGGATTCACTAAGACTAGAAAATGTGACTAGTTCCTGGTTTAAGCCACTGTCATATTCAGAACAATGAGTTCTTGTAAAACGTTAAGTCTTAGGTGCAGATTTGATTGACATTTGTCATGACTGACTGTCAAAGGGACTTGTCATCACATATCATCACAGTACCACGAAACTGCTGGCACCCTAAAATTCCTAGTGGAATTGGCTCAATACCCTGAGACTAGCACCACTATTGGTACATGTCTTCCTGTGGATGTTTAGTGATGGAAATTGAAAATCCTTGGCAAATGTTTTGAGGGCTCTTTACCCTTGTACATGTCATCTTGGATTAATTTATATTATACTGGACTCATTTGTAGCTTGGTTTCTTTCCATAGAGGTAGATCCTGCCTTCCATGGCACCAGGAGCCATTTAGAGCCATTCTAAAGAGGCCTCTATTACAAATTGAACTGCAGGTTAGCCCAACCAGTTTTGGCCCCAGCTTTAACAATGGCATTCTGATTTGAACGAGCCCTGAGAAATCTGTGTGTTAAAGTTGTAAAAGAGAATTCATGTGACTTCTAAGTATATCGAAACAAATGGTGAAGAAAAATAAAACGACTAGAATGAAAGTTTTGTGAAACAACAGAAAGTAAAAACGACTGCAATTTAGTTACTGCTAAAGCAAAATATTATTTCATGTCTGTCAACGTGAAACTTGTTTTGGTTAAATATTGACTTTGAGGTCTATAATTTCAATTCAATTCAACGGTATCGATTAAGCAGTCACAGGCCCAAGGCATTGTGTAAACAGAACATGGAAGGAGCTTATAAAACACAATAACATGATTAGTAGAATAGAAAACAGGCCTTTTGACCAAAAGATAAAAAATAAATTTATCTAGTTTTCAGGGAAAAAAAAAAATACAGGCCCATATGCAAATTGCCTTGATTTTAGGGAGAAATAAACTAGAGCCAATATTCCATCTGATATTAAGATACCAATAAGGAAATCTTATTGTTTC